CCTGCCACAAGCTGCCCCAAGTGCAGCGTGGCCCAACCCCCACCTTTCTTACCCCCGGGAAGAGCCCAGCAGAGCCCCTGGCTTCAGTCCACAGCTGCAGCCCACTTTGCCCCACACAGATGCAGGAGCACATGTGCCTCCCCCCCTCCCAGGTTGTGCACAGTGGCAGGAGCTAACCCCCCCACCCATTCCCAGCTGGGCAGCATGTACCCCAGCCCCATTCCCTCCCTCCCTCACCACAGGGACCACTGATCTGCCCCCCACGCCTCTTCCCTGCCCCCTCCCCGTCCACCACAAACTTACCAGCTGGATGCAGCTGTATTGGCTATCAGTATTGGCCCCCAAAATCTCTATCAGTGTACTCCTACTGGATTTCCTCAACTTAAAAGGACATTTAAAAGCAGGGGGCATGATGCATCTTCCACTAAAATGCCAAAGCTATTCACAACAAGTTTCTCACTAGATTTCCACTAAAATCTCAATTCATTTGGGATTGGACCCTTCCTACTGCCGTCTCACTTTTTTCTACAAAAAGGCATGAAATATATATACATAGGTCCCGCTCGCAAACTTCAGAAACTCTAGAGATTGTGAAAACTCCACCCTTGGAGTTTAAGAGCAGGTTAATCTAATACTTGTCTGAAGTGAGCCTATTTTGATTCTACCTCTGCTGAGGCACCTTATTTCTGTAAGATACAAAATGTCACTATATTCAGCAGCTCTCTCAAAAGAAAGCTCTGAAATTGGTGATGACAAGCTGTGACTGCATAAGAAATCCACACAATACACTAGATTCTGACTGTACAATTTTATGACAAAAGGTTTCCGATAGATAAGGCAGAGCTACTAACCAAATGTAGAATTTCCTAGGTGCATTTCCTCGTTAATAAGCAAGAGCCCCAACTTGTTCCTTGGACACCAGGGACCCTGGCAGATGTTACATTTAATTTGCAATTAATGTGTTAACATAGCAATAAATTTCAACATATCACATATTCAAGCAATTTATTTGGAGTGGGAAGTACGATCTTCAAATCCAATGCAAATCCCTCATCACAATTAGGAATGACCTTGCAATTCAGACATGGCCCCCAAGTCCTCTGGATATTATATTTAAACAGGCTCAAAATTCTTCATCTGGTAAATTCACTGTAATAGGAACCAACAAGGCTTTTAAATCAGAATTAGGCATGCATCTAATAGTACCTGCCAAGGACTCAAGGCCCTACACAGGTGTTAATATCCTTTCTATGCAGGGTCACCAAACTCAGGAAACCTGTAGAGATCACACACTGCCAGAGAACAGTTGGCTCTAGGTACTAGCACGAAACTACTTCCAAGCCCTCATTTCTCTGCTTATGTCCCTGGGCTGAGAGTTTGTGTTTTGCTATTTGAGTGCTCCTGGCAGGCCATTTGTTGTCTTTAACAATTTTGCATGAACAAACATCCAGCAGGTAACAGGTTAGGTGCACCCAATTTAGATGCCAACAACCATTTTGTTGTTATTTATTCAATCCCTAGCGTTTAGATGAGACTTCTCCAATGTCCCACTTGTCCCACTTCCCCAGAAGCACATACTTACCATAATAGTGTCTTTTTGATGTTGTGAGTTGAAGAAGAAAGTGCTAAAAATAGGTATGTAGAGGCTGTCTGACAAGACAGTTAAGTAAGTCTCTGTGAATTCAAATGCTGGAGGATATTGTTGTACCAACTGCCAAACACAATCTAAGAAGAGCAGGAAAACAGGAGCCTAAATAATAACAAATATTAAATCAATTTCAGGAAAAGAAACAATGAGATCTGTCCCATCACGCAGCCTGCCTGCACTTCTGAATGATCTGGAACATCTTTACACCTCAAACACCAATTAATTTTGTGCACACAATTGTTTTACCCAGGTTTGTTTTGCTACTAGGTGTTTTATAGACACTAGTGGTAGTTTAAAACTCTACTAGGTAGTAATACTTTTCATTTTGGCACTAGAAATGGAATACACCAGTTTCTGATGGGAACTGTGCATCTGCTACCATCATAAGATTAGCAGCAAAAACAAAAGCTTAATTTGCATGAAAAGCAACCAGGATCCAAGCCAAAATGTGCTTTTGAAAACTACATTTTTCCTTCTCTTGAGGAAGGCAATACGATTGGCCTATGCCTGCAATTTAGAGTAACAGAAAACTATGTTCAGCA